GCCATTAATTGGAATTGAACTATACCCTGCAATTGAGTGGAAACGTGACAAGCCCATAAAAATTGTGGAGCGATGGTATTTTTATTACCTTTAAGGTAGTCATGAGATTATGTCTCTTTCTGAATCAAAAAAAATCTTAATACTCAAAAGTTTAATTAAATAGACTAGAAGAGTGTGTACTTATTTATAAATAAAAATTTTCCCTATAATTGAATACGGTTACCAAGAATGACCACTTATTGGTGCTAACAACTTTGCAGAAATTTCGAATTATGTATTTTTGCCACGCCGCTTTTGGATTATGCTACACCTGTCATAAGAGATCCAGCACCAGGAAGTTTATTATATTGTTTTTTCTCTAATTATTGCCTATTTTTTAATGCGAAGTGTACCTGACTCAACGAGATATATACCGATTTAGTCGCTTAAATAAAAGGGTGCCAAGCTATTTTATTTTAAAACAATCCTAACCAAAATATCAGCTAAAGAATATTATCTTTCTATCCATTATCCGAAGATATTCACTTTATGGGATTGGGGTACGTTAGATCCTCAAAATATGCCTCAACCCATGACGCTAATAGCTCAAGTTTTACGTAAGATGATTACTTTTTCTACTTTCAAGTAAAACCTTCTCTACAATTCTATTTTAAAACACTAAAACAATCTTCTATTTAAATGAATCAATGCTCAGCCCAATCTATAAAACAAATTAAAACTGAAGTTTGGACTCCCATTGGTAAATGATTCAATAGCATTATATGTAGTTATATAATTACAAAGTTATGTTAGTATAGAGATACACATACTTTTCCGATTTGCGTTCCGCTTTCAAGGTGCTTATAAGCATCAATAATTTCAGATTTAGAAAATTTGAAACTCTTATCCACCGGAATAAATAACCCCTTAGAGCTAACAAATCTCATCAACTCTTCTAAAAGCTGCTTGGAACCCACAGTGATACCTCTCATAACGCAACCTTTAGATAAAGCCAAAGCAACAGCGTCCGGCATTTCTGATTGTTTTGCCACATTAAGAAACCCGACAACTCCAATCTGCCCTCCATATGCTATACATTCAACAGATTGTTCTATGTTTCCAGAACCGCCGTTTTCGAAAATATAATCAACTCTGTTTTTACCAATCATTTGGTTAACAGCTTCACCCCATTTAGGAAACTTCTTATAATTAACTGTATAATCCACACCATATTCTGCTTTAATTTTCTCGAGCTTTTCATCAGAAGATGAAGTAAGAATAGTTGTTGCGCCAGCTGCCTTTGCTAATAATAATCCTGTCATAGAGACACCTCCAGTTCCTTGTAATAAAACTATTTGACCTGGCTTTAATTTGTTATTACCATACAATACATTCCAAGCAGTGGTTCCAGTACAAACTAAACTTGCCAACTGCTCCCAGGAAAGTTTCAGAGAGGACGGTGCCTTGACCACAGCTTCATATGGTAAAGTGACATATTCTCTCAAGACACCATCAATGGGTCCACCTAATCCCCCTTCCCAATGCTGCTGAGGGCCGTAAAGATTAGTGATATCAAAGTTAGGGACTACCTTATCACCCACTTCAAACCCCCTTACATTATGTCCGAAAGACACAACCTCACCCGATGCATCGGAACAAGGAACAACATCACGTTTCACTGGGAAAGGATATGCTCCAGTCGAGACGGCAATATCTCTGAAATTCAATGATACAGCTTTTACCTTGATTAAAACTTCGCTCGCAGCAGGAACTGGAATTTCTTCCTTATTAGCACTGATTTCCTTATATGATGTTCCCTTATTTATTCTAAATACTGTTTGTGTACTCATCTTCAAAATATTATGATTGCAAACGTTAAATTCATCTCCACGAGAAGATTATGTTCGTTATAAATAGTTATAGCCACGAAGAATAATTATCCTTTTAATCAATGTTTGGGAGTTGATTAATAATGTGACTATTATGCAAGCAAGGCATATCTCCCTTCATGACATTGATTATTAATCTGAAATTTTTTGTTAAGAACCACTCC